TACAGCGTTTAGAAAGTGGATTGAGAAATTCCCCTCTCTACACCTACCATGCTATACCGGAGCAAACGTCCGTAATGAGTAGCTTTCACATTCGTTAAACTGCTGAACAGGAACGAGCGGATCTGACGTGACGTTTCCCCGCAGGTAAGCCATGTGGAGACCCTCCCTCCTTCCCTCACACCAGCCTGCAGGGCCACACGGGCTTCGAGATGGGCGACGAGCTGCTGTACGTCTGTGCCCAGAGCTACGTCATGGCCAGCGGGCGCAGTGCTTTCAGCCTGCTGTGCGACAGCTGCGGGGAGTGGTATGGACTGGTCCAGGCCTGTGTGAAAGGTGAGACAGTCACACCTGACCTGGAGGGACCTTCTGTCAGAGCTTTGAGCAGAAGTTGCTGGCATCCGTTTTCAACTAGAAAGTCAGTCAGTTCCAGAACACTGTATACCCTGGGTATCCCTGCACTGTGGCCACAGCCCTGCATTGGAGATCCTTCTGAAATTAGCCTTTAATACCAGGGATCAAGGAGAACCAAAACACTGTGCCTACTGTTTTCTTTAAGCCCCTTCCACAAAGCCCAAGCTACACCACAGTAGGAATTCTGCCCCCGGAAATGCTCCGCAGTTGCAGACTAATTTCAGATGTCAGCAGACAGAACTACTGTATGTGGAGACCAGAAACAAAATCCCAAATACTAATGGAACGTGAAGACAATCATATTAATTAGAATTTGCTCATGTTACATGAAATACAAAAAAATCTGTTGTCCATAAGGTCTAAGGTTAACATCAAGAGAACAAACATACATTAATTTCTTATTAAACATGAATTCTCAAATTACCAGGCAGTAGACGTTCAGGGAAATGTGTGTGTTAAGATTAAGAATTGATTAATAGAAAACAGAGAGTACAGGTAGGGGATTCATGCTCAAATTGAGGTCATGTAATCAGTGAAGTACCACAGGGATCTGTTCTAGGACCATTGTACTTTCTAATCTATGTCAAAGGATCTAAATTCCGGTATAAATTGATAAATTTAACGTGGTACCAAATTAGGAAGATGGAATAACACTGTAGAAGCAACAATGAAAATTCAAAAATATTTAGAGAAAATTCAAGACTGGGCCAACACCTGATATTTAATATAGTGGTTAAAATGCAGACAAGTGTAGGGGGTTTGCATGCACGTAGTAAACTTTTAAAGGCAAACAAAATACTAGGATGATAAGTTAAACATTAAGGGATATTATGGTGAAATTGTATAATGCAGCAGTAAGGCTCCATTTAGAATACTCGGCTGTGTACAACTGATGTCACCGCATGATAGGAAAAACACTGACAGATATCAGACCATTGACGTGTCACCAGATACATTCCAGGGCTTGAGGGAATATGCTACAGGCTGAGAAAAATTAACCCTGTTAGTCATGAGTACAGAAGACTATCAGGGGATCGGAAAAACATGTTCAGAGTCCTCAAAGACCTACAGTAGCAGATTTCTCCCAAATAAAGAGTGAAACATGAACCAGAGGACACAAGCGTGTACTAGATGGAAGTGCATTTACAACTGAGAACAGGAGGCACTTCCAAACCCAGAGGGTTTTGGGAGCATGGAACAAGTTACTAAGCCATGTGAACCCACCTGAACTACTTGGCCATGTGCATGCTGTTGAAACCAATACCCTGAGGTCTTTCAAGAAGTGGCTGGATGAGATCCGTGGATCAATTAGCTACTAACTACCAAACATTCTAGACGGGTGGAGTGGGCTCTTCTCGTTAGTATCTGCTCTTATAAGAAAATCACAAAGGTTGTAAACTTTTGAGAGCAGAGCATAGTAGGTGTCTATTACACCATTTAAAAGAGATTTTGGATAAGAAAACATATCTACTCAACTTCACATAACGCTTTTCTTTGGTTTGCTCATTCTCACACAGTCTCTCCCTTTCATGAGTCTCATGGCCTACAGTCATCTCACCTGCCCCGACTGTGGAAAAAGCCATTCTTATGCATAATCCAAGGGGTTAGTTAAATATTGATACACTCAATAGGTCAGCAAGGTGCATTGGGTGTATTGGATGTGGTCAGTCATTAAATTATCTGGCTCGCAACAAGGAGTGGAGGGAGAGAAGCCTCTATTAGAATCAAATGACAAGACAGGTATAAAATGTTTACACTGTACATTTCCCATAATACTAGACATTGAGAGAAACATAACAGCTGCAGGTGGTCCAGCAGAAATGGATGAAAGGTACAAAGGGGCCATTTATGAAGCTGGCCTTATTCTAGCAAAGACTGCTTTTGTAAGTCTTCCTAATGCATTAGGATGTGCAATGTTGGGTCATGTCAGAGTCCTTATTCACACTTCCAGAGTCCTAAATGAGGTCAGGTTCTGATAAAGAGGCAAGCCAGTCTGTGAGCTGAAAATAGATATGGGTGGCAGTTTAAAAAAATGTGTTGGCCAAGCCAGGCCGAACTGGTAGAGCACTTCAGAATTTCCTTGTCAACACTGGTTTATTTGCACAGAGAGGCAAGAGAAGTCCTGAGAAGTTATTACTGGCAGAAAGGACTGTCTCTTCTCAGGCTTGTGTCTGTGACAGAATCAGGACGCAGAGAGAGAGAGAGACTGGGCAGCGCTCAGTGAACAAAGATAATTAAACTGCTGTTTGGACCCCTGCTCTGGGGATGTGAGACAGTCAGAGGATTTTACATTCTGAAAAGCTGCAGAATTCAAAATATTGAATGTTTTAAATCAGCTTTAAGGCAACTTGACCAAAAAAAATGGCTGTAAAACAGAGTTTAAAAATCCTGGCCATCCTTACCACAGTGTAAAGTTATCTGCTTACTATTTATAGGTCTACTAAGTGAAATTCTGTCCAGTGAAAGTATATTAATGAATACTGAATGAAAACCACCGGACAATGAGACTGAAAAGCCCCTATTTTCAGCCTTCAGACTGCATATTAATGTTATGATAGGCTGACATAAAACCATGAAGTCTTTTTATGAGCCTGCAGATTCTTAAATGTGTCAGATTTGTCTAGTTAGAGTCAGTACACTTATGAGACCTTTTTACCCAAGGTCAAAGATTTGGATCACTCATATTCAGTAGGACTTATGAATGCAAACCTTTCTTTTTATTAAATAACACTTTAAGAGTATTCTTCTAGCTTTGTATGTACCAAACATGGTCTTCTGACTGTGAACCCGTACTTCACACAATCTGGAAGTAATTACTGGTCTCAGATCAGAACGATTTTACTTAAAAGATTACTCTCGCTCCTTCCAATACCTCCATGAAACTGGCCTTTCCAAGGGAGCAGGTGTATTTGCTCTGGTAGTAATGATGACGACCACAGACGTTTGGAAGCCAATGACTTCTGCATTCATTTCTTTTTAACGCTGTGGCTTGAGCGAGGCGGTGAGGAACTGGCTCCTGGTTGTCAATCTTAATCGAATCATGCCAGTCCTCCTCACAGGATGTTTTTAAACAGGCTTGCCTAATTTCTCCCTTCCTGTTCGAAACCCCCACTTGCGCCATTCATCCCCTGTCCTGTATGGCACGGCTTGCCGGTCTTCACACCCGTTTTCTCATGCTTTCTACCTGGCGTTGAGGCTGTAAGGCAGAAATTGTGTCTTTGTATAGACAAGCTTTGAAACTCATAGACAGCCTATCAGTTTCCTGGTTAATGAATTTGTATCATTCGCATGGTCAAGTTTGCAAAGATACATACTGTATTTATACTGTGGAAAAAAAACACACACTGACACTTCGAATATACTCTGTAAGTGAACAAACCACAAATATGATTCACTGTAGTTCTGACAGTAGCTTACAGGAGAGGTCAGGTCAACAAGCAGTTTCTGGCCTTCTAACGTAATAGAATAACAACAGGTTGGGATGACTGCAGACATACTGTAGATCACAGAAATAATTCACATGGCGATATGGGTTAATATATGGAGAGATTATGTCACAGACATGAGGTCATTCAGTTTGTGCAGAGTCAAATCCATGTGTTGGCAAGCAGGAAACACAATCCTGCGCCATTACGGTTTCCTGACTATTTTCCACACTATGAAAAGGCACTGTGTTCTGCCCCAGAAACAAGCATATTCAGTGGACAAGGTACGTAAAACAAGAAGTACGACTTAGGAAGAGCAAGAAACCTGAACCACAGAACGAAGGAGCCACAAGGCCTCTGGTTAGAAACAAGCATTTCCTTTCGAAAACAGAAAATAAATGATCACAGTTACAAGAATGTGTTCTAGAACAAGTAAGGCTTTGTCACCCTAAAAATTGGGGTTTTGCAAGACAATTTTCAGAAGGTTACATATTTTCTTTCCTTCGGTAGTGTTGACTGGAAGTCCAGATAGTACATTCACAAATAAACTGCAACATTGTTAAGGTGCATTAATTGTGGCAATGGTTTTTATATTATGTCTGTAATATACCGTAAAGAAAATAGCTAAAATGTTGATAGTGCTCACTTCCAGAGCTTGACTACACTGCCTAACAATGGCAGTAGGTATAGTAAGAGTGGATCCACAAGACAGTGTATAGTGTAGGTTTCAGTCGCCTAAAAATAAAGTCTCAGGCTTCACATCTTTGAATTCCGTTCTGGAAAACAGCAGCGTTCATGCTTCTTCATTTCAATCTAATAAAACCTGCATTCAAAATAGCAGAACTCCGAGAAACCTTATGATAACCGTCACCGCATACAGTATATGAGGCAGTGGAACGATTTGAGTAGAAACTTTAGTGTCTTCGCTTCATTTTCGAAATGTCCCTTTCCAGCACTGTCCTGGCAGTGCCCGATTTCCAACTAGGGCCTACGAAGGAGGGAAACACTAGTGACCCACGAAAAACGAGCTGAAACAACATGCTTGCGATCGACTCTCAAGTGCCCCACATCAAGAATCGCACGCTATCAAGCAGCTGTTCTGGAAACCGGAAGTATCGAAGTGATGGTCGCTGGACTCGCTCCATCAATCACGTGGTTTAGCATTAGAATAGTTTAAAGTGCATCATGTCAATCGACGTCATTCAATTGGCTTTTACACCTCTTTTTGCACATTTCGGGGTGAAAGTGCCTAGGGCCTACGAACACCAGAATCCGGCCCTGCGTCCTGCTACTTGGCTCCTCTGCTCAGCAGCTCATGTGGTGAAGTGGGAGCTCTTCACTGGTTGAATTAAGGGGGAACTTAGAGGGCCACATTGTACTAGCCAGGGCACCAGGGTTAACACCCCTACTCTTCTGAAATGTACTGTGGGATCTTTAATGATCATACAGCCAGGGCCTGGGTCTGATCTGAAGGATGATCACTCCTACAGCATAGTGCTCCCAGTTACCATACTGAGGTGCTGAATCAGAAATTGTGCTCCAACGGGAAGACCACCAGCTACTGATTCACTTCAACTCTCACAGCTGCACACTGGATTTCTTTGGAGGTCTCCTTAGCCAGTACCGTCCAGATTCTGCCTTGCTCAGCTTTTGAACGTTTCCTACAAATCTAGATATATTTTCCCCATCTCTGAACTGGCTTCAATGCTCTGTTTTCTTCCCCACTGATAGCTGGTGTGTGGTGAGCATAGTGGTGCACTTTGTTGCATCATCCAGCTGGGAGCTACACACTACACACCTCCACCAGTGGAGGAGGAGGAGAAGCAGGATAAAAAGTTATGAAGCCTTTCAGTTCTCTGCAAAGATATTGGAATATCACAAAGATAATGTTCCGATCTCCAAGATCTCATGGGCTAATTAATAGCTTAAAGACCACAAAGGTGTTTGTTTTCAGGCTGAATTTGTACAGCTGTGCACAGTGAGTGTTTTGTTTCCTTGTACTACATAAGTGTCATTGCGCTTAAAAGTTCTTCTTTAAAATTCAGAGACTTCAAAAGTGGTGGGATATTAAGTGTGCAGGAAATTTGTTGGTCTTCCAAGAAAAACAAAAGACAGTTAAATTGGTTAACATGCTGTGGCTATAGAGGGCCACCGTAGTACTTCCTTGCTAAATGCCAGCAATACACTCGTCCAGCATCTGTAAATACAGAAACTTAACCTCTGAAGAGCAGGAAGGAAAACAGTGGCCTTAAGTTGTTTTGAATCTGACTGGGACTAGATCCCAAGCTGAGGAGGAAGCTGAGGAGCCTGTGCTTTGAAGTTGTGTTGATTGAAGGCAGTTTACAATCCTATTGGCCAGCAACTTCAAACTACTGTTTTCCTGCTCAATGGACAGGGTTCAATGAAGGCAGTTTTCAAACTTTCCTTAATCCTACACACACATACAGTACACGGATTTTTAAAGAAAACCGACAACCACACTTTTCCACATTTCTTCTAAACAGTACTTTTTGAAATGTGTGTCACCTTGCAGGTGTTTATTACCCACATCTTAGTTTTATTTTTTGTTTCAAGTGAATAATTCGGTTTGATTTCTGGATTTTAAACCTTTTGCAGTAACGCATAATCCTGTGGTCTAGCTTACAGCTGGACTGCAGCTTAAAGTCCAAAAACTGCAAAGCAAACAGAATGGTAATAGTAAGTGCTAACTATACGAAACACTCCTTACGTGTTTTTTTCTTGTCTCTTTTTCTCACCAGCATGAGATGCCTCAGAGCAAGCTCCCATGAAATTGCAAATGATTTAGCTTAGTCCCCTTGTTGTGAAGTGTGTCTGGTAGCCTTTAGTTCACTCAGCAGCTGTAGCCTCTCTGTCCGCCCTCTTTCTGAGCCCACATGGTGATCTGCCGCAAGCCTGCATTAGGAGAGACTTACTTTGTAGCTGCCTTGACCAGCCTCCTGTAGGTACTGGTACACATATTCTACAAAACGAATAGGGAATTTCCAAAGCCTGGGAGGAGGGGGTTGGGGAAAAGGTTGGTGAAAAAAGATCCTTTTCCATCTACACTATACGCCAGAATGAGGAGACTCCCAATGGCAGCCTTACTCGCAAATCCAGGCACGGTTAAATTAGATCATATCACGAAACATGCAAGACTGCGATGCTCAATGGAGTGACTTCCACCTCCATGCCACTCATACCAAAGAAAAATCAGTCCAAAGGCAACCAAAAGTCTTAGAAACTTCCGAGGAGCTTAAACAGCTTCAAATCTAATTGCTAATGGATTAAATGTGCAAACTCAGCACATTTAGGCTTCAAAATGACTGCATACTTTTTGAAAGGATGCATGTATCAGCAGTGGAGCTACAAAATGGTCAGATGGCACTGCTGACTTCAGCCTCAAGTCATCCTGCAGGGGGTCCATGTTGGCCTGCAAGAGTTGGACCTACATCTGTGGTGTCATTCGGTTCAGTCTAGAAAGTGGAGAAGCACACAACACCATTTTAAATCTACTGAAGTCATTGGTACTATAATAATAATAATAAAGAATCCATAAGACCTTCAGCTATTCATTCGTGTGCAAAATGTTTTTCAATCCATATCCGTATATACAGTACAGTTGAATGACAAAATGACACGATCATGCTCATTAATTCAGTTGATTTAAGGTTAACTGTAACGTGTGCAATACATTTTCCCTTCCCTAGATGAGACGGAAGCGCATATCGATTACGAAGACAAGTTCCCCGACGGAAGGCACTTGTCGTACGAGGATCCTGAAGAGCCGGAGGACAGTCAGGAGGCTCTGTCCTTCGGCGAGCACGAGGACACCGAGCAGGAGAGGGGGGACGCGAGGGGAAGGGAGGGGGAGCAGGGAGCAGGGAGAACGGAGGGGGAAGGAGAGGAGGAGGTGGAGGACTCAACGGATAGGGACTTCCAGGAGCCCACGACGCCCACAGAGTCGCCGGTGTCCCTGCTCAGCCAAAAACATCTGTTTTGGTTTCCCTCTGAGACTTTCCACGAGCCAGAGGAGCCGGGAGAGAAGGAGGTAACGGCCAGGGAAGGAGGGGGACCCGTCTTCACGGACGGCGACAACCACATTGGAGTGAAGACCTCCGGCAGCGCGACAGAAGGGCTGCCAGGTTTTGATGACGGGGAGGACTTCCCCATTGACCTGCCCGCGGGAGACCCGAAGAACGACACCAAGCAGGCCACGAAGGATTCGGTCGCCAGCACCGATGAGTCCTGGCTGGACGGCTACCCGGTGACGCAAGAGGTGGCCGAGGACGGGGAGAAAGTGGGAGGCGGCAGCACGGAGGCCGAGGACGGGGAGGTGCCGGGAGCGACGGACCGCCCGAATCACGTGGAGATCAGCCGGGCGGACGCGGCCAGCACCGCCCCGTCCCCCGGCTTCACCCAGATCGCGGCGGCCCCCACGGGTCAGATCCACTACGGCGTTCAGCGCCTGCCCGCGGCACTGACGCCCAGCCCGGCCCCCGAGACCGCCGGCACCGGCGAGGAGGAGGTGGCCCCGCGCTTCACGACCACACCCTCTGAGGCGGCACATGCCGACACCATCGCCCCCTCAGAATCGGCAAGCGAGGACCACGAGCTCGCGGTTACCCCCACCGTTGCCTCCTGGGAGACAACTGAGGCTTTGTACCCCATCGTTGACCACATGCCGGAGCCCACAGACTCGGACGACAACACCACGCCCTACCAGATCCCCAGGGAGACCACCGCCGGGTCATCGGACGACTTCGCGGGGACTGGCCTGTACGAAGAGCCCATCACATGGAACCTCACGCACGCGCACGGTCCTGGAGCCAAACTGCGTCCCACTGCGGCGCCTTGTGTGGGAGAGGACTGCCCCCAGCACAGCAGCGGGCCGATGATCGCCGTGATCATCGTTGCCATCTGTTTGCTGGTCGTAGTAGCCACACTGGCCGTCTGGTGCTACAAAAAAAGGCAGCAGAAAAGCTCTGTTTACAAGATGAATGGGAAGGGACAGACTAGACACCCCCAGCAGATTGAAATGCAGCAGAAGGTGTAGCTTTTACTTAGCGTTCTCTTTCTTTTCTTTTCTTTTTTTCTCACGAGGAGCGCAGAAGCCAAACAGAAAGGTTAGATCAACTCCGGTGGAAGCCGAGAACAGACTCTTTGTTTGGAGACGAGGGGGACATTGTGGTACAGATTTTTATTGTGTTCCTTTATTTTTCTGTGAGACTGGTTGAGTAATTTTCTTTCTTTTAGTCTGGTTCGATGTTGCTTGTTTTCCGCAATGATGATTGAAGCTTCGAAATACCAAGGTAACTAAGTTTTTCCTGAGGTAAAAGGGTCTCACTGACGCCACACATGACTCCAATGTGCAGCCAGATTAATAGAATGGAGCTGCACAGTAGAATCAGAGGAAGACCGTCCTCAGTCGACTACTTGTCCCCATGCCAGCAGTCCAGTTTCTGCTCCTGGATGCTTAATAAGCACAGACACAACAAACTGGGAAAAGGCCTTGGTAAAACTCTTTTGAAATGTGTTCTAGTCATATTCCGTCCTTTTGTAATTATTAAGAAGTACTAGAAGCTTTAAAAAGCCCTTTTAGCATCACCTAAAATTTCACATCTGGTACATCTGTCCTGTGTTTAATTACTTGGCTAATGGAAGCACCTCATACTTCCGTCAGTGACAGATTAGACTTCAGTGGTTTCAGACCGTTGATATAACCTTCTTGGAATAAACATCTACATCTTGCCCATTAATAACAGTACAGTATTATTTTGATATATCTTTGTATTTAGTAGGGCTTTGTGTAATTGTGGGTAGAGCTTGCATGTGTTGAAAAGCACAGCTGCAAAACAGCACAATCGGCAGAAAGCAGAGGCATGAGAGCTAGTGGAAACCCAGCATGCATTTCAGGAGAAAGATGTTACATGTACTGTACGTACAAGGGAGTAATTTTAGATAATGTGATTCTGAGGGCAAATGTAAAACAAACAGATTTTATATGTATCAGTGTGATATTTTCACTGACCGCCGGATTCAGTCTTATTAAACAAATACCATAAAACACATCCGAATTTCAGGAACTCAAAGACACTGGATGAAATTTTGATAACAGAGCTTTGAAAAAGAAGGATTTTTCACAATTTTATTTGCCGTTGAAAACAGTTTTTTTGGACAATAGAGTTGAATACTCCGCATCACAACTCTTTTCAGGTGTGCACAAATATAAGAGACGTAACAACATTAACTATAAATGTGATTTTTTGTATGTACGTGGACATTGTATAGTGTAGTGCACAATTTACAATAAAGATTCACATTCTGCGAGGTATTTTGGGTGCATGGCGAAATATGACAGCTCTGAATTATTTCAGGAGAGCTCAACCATTTTTCAATGATCTAAAAAAGATCATTTTACAATTTGATAATCCTCACCATGCATATACTGTATTTAGAACACATAATCAGTAGTTTTGCAGTTACTAATCAATGGTATATTTGCTTAAAAATGTCTCACCTTTTTTTAATTCAATGACAATTCAAATATCTATTAATAATTTGTGACTGTGTTTGATGAATTAGTTTCTATACATTTTTATGAAGACCTACAATGTTTTTGTCTATATTATGTCTGAAAATGTTTTGAAGTCTGAATTATTTTGTGTTATAGAGTAGCTTAAAGTGAAGGAGGGGTGCAGAACAGTATACTCTTTGCTGAGTCTATTGCTGTTACATCACATGTCACTGGAGGGTTTTCACGATGAATGGGATTGGTTTTGCTTGCAGAATACAGGGACTTAAATTGTGTTTCCTCTTTGTGTGTGTTTATCAAAGGGTGCTTCCTTTTGACATCTGGGAACAAGAGCTGTCCACAAGCCAATGTTCGAATCTATCCAATATATCCACAGTTTATCCATAGAGGTTATGTCCTGTTGTCTGATATTTGGGGAGCAATGCCTTGTTAAAACCACCACTCTAGAGAATAAATATCTTTACGTTAATATGTCTGTCTGAGATGTGCATGTTTATAAAGGAAAACATAACGTCCTATGTGGGGGATACCAGCTTCCAGAGTTTTCTTTAAAAACTGAATCAAGTGGATTTGACCAACAGAGACGAAAACCCTCTAAAAAACGTTGCGTTGTAATTTTCTGTAAATTATTAAAAAATATTCTGTAACCAAGCCTTTTTTTTCCTAACAAATTACGACAACAGTAACCAAACAGATTTATAATTATATGATTAATGAACCAACTTAAAGATTCTCAAAAGATGCTGTGTACATAGTACACAGCAAATTGAAGGGAAGCTTGAATAATCTGATCATTAAAGAAAAAAGACTGTGCGGATTCAGGTCTTCTCTTGACATGGTTTTTAATGTGATGGACACACTTCACACATGTGATAAAATCACTGTTAGGCCGGATAGGAAGTGTCACATCATCATAGGCAGCCGTACAATCTCATAATCTCTTAAATTGTCTGTGAAACTTAAGACGGAGAGATGTAAGAGTCAGAAAATTATCTTTCGCCGTGACCAACCATCAATAACACCCTTGCAACATCTTCTCATGCTGCCCCTGATTGGTGGAATTGATGCCGAGGGAAGCTGCACTCTTCTTGTTCGGCAATACAGAGTTTATCCAGGCTCTGTAGCTGGACAGTATGAAAAGATAATGCACAATTTCTCTGGTTCAATAGGGTTTTTACACTTCTAGATCACCGGTCAGCGCTTTTGGTACAGCACATTGTTCGATTCAGTCTGAATTGAATGAGGTAACTCTGTAGCTTAAATGAATCCTGCATTACTACAATTTGAGAAGAGGACACCTGAGAGTCTTTCTCAGTTAAGCAGATGTAGATCAGGTTAGTGCTGTCATGCTTAAAATCACACCCTAGGTTATGGTTTTGGTGGCACCAAAATGGACCTTTTATATTAGACACCAACACACCAATACTCCTGTTCCTGGTGTTGTTGATGAGAAGTTGATTCATGTCATGTCTGAATGTTTGTAATGTCTCAGGTGACAGGTCTCCTGTTGGAAGATTTGCCTGGGCTTGGTACTATTGGTGCTGGGTAAAATAGTGGAGAGGCATGAAAATGTACATGTAAATAGTACAACAGCAACTGACGTACTGTGAGTGAGTTCACTGGATAAATATCCACAGTTGAGTAGGAGCCCTGTTGTCGGTCAAACTTTGTCATAACTTCGCTATGATCATCATGTGGTGTCTGACAACCCAATGAATTTTTAAACAGTAAATATAGTCACATCAAATTAAGATAATATATAATAGACAATATACAATTAAGTATATACTGTACATTAAGGACAATATACAGTTTGAATGTTATCATTGCTAAAATGAAGTGATTCTTTGTGTCTGACTGGTTGTACTGTTTGTAACGACTGAAGATCCAAGTGCAGTAGGAACACAAGGTTCCTTTCTCCTAAGAATATGAAAAATATGGAAAATCGTGTCAGCATTCAAAATGACCATATTTGTATAATTGTGTATCTTCACTTGGTAAGTAAATCTAACGTTGTTCCATTAAAATCACCAAGACTTTGTAAATGACAGAATGTACTTCCCATAACAAAGATGAAATGTATTCAGTTGTTCAGTAATTACCGGTACTTATGAATTTATAAGGCCAAAGCTACAGTTTTACTCTAAAGCAACATTTGTAAGTAAATATTTTGTAGATCATCAGATATTTCAATTCCATAGCAGAAACCAGTCCTTTCCTTTCGATTTTCACCGTCAGTCAGTCAGGTATGTTGAGTTTGATTCGATTGTCACTGATGCTGTTTGTATTTGCGTGTAAAGGGTTTTACATTGGTTGATAACTTCGCTGTGTTGCAATGTTTCTGTAATAACTACAGACTACAGTTTTGCTGGTCATTATATTGAGAGCTAATGAAATGACCTATATAATACAAATTGCATTGATTCTCCTTCTTGTCCAACTGTTCTTTTGTATATATTGTATAATTGTTATCGTGCTTCGGAACAATGATTGTTTTGGTCCTGCTGTGTTTGTTTTAATAAAGTAGCAAAGCTGTGTGTAAATGGAAGGTAGTCTAAACAACTGAAGCTTAAATCATTTAATCACATAATTAAAGGTCTGCACTCTGTACAACTCCAAAACAAAGTGACTTTTAAATTTGAAACATTACTATACTAGTCTTTGGAGGCGGTATTGATGTTGTGTTCCACTGTAAAATCAATCAGCATAAAATCTGTATGCGCAATAAGGTACTTGTACTTTCTTGCTTTTATGGCAAAACCATTTTAATAGGCAGCTCAGGTTAGAGAGTATCTGAACTGAAGTGGTTTTTCTTATTAGAACCATGTAGCACTCTTGTCCAGAGCAGTCGACATACCTGTATGAATATGAAATGTATAGCAACAATCATGTTCATGCAGCAAGTTGGGAAAATTCAATGATTTTTAAGGCTGACAGTGTTGGTGCTCTGGTTTATTTTAAAACCCTCTAAGTAATGCATAATCTGCCCATTTCTTCAACATTATGCATAATATTATTAAAGATGATATTAAAGTTCCAGGTTTCAGGCAAGAAGTGAACAAAGCTGCAAAGATATCGTTGATCAAATGTTATATCCCGGTTTTATTCCAAAATCCAGTCAGTTGCTATCAGTATGCTCATGTATTTGTATTTTATTTAACAGTTAACAATTACTGCTTTTTATGTAAGTAAGTGGCAACTTGATTATACAATGGAGGTTTAATTTCATTGTCAATCTGACACAGAAATAGGAATGAGGATAATGGGCATATTATGGGCATGTGATAGGACAACATTATTCAAAAGTCTGGAGGAAGGCAGATTTTTAAACTTGCAAATTTTGAGTTTCTTTCAAACATATTATTGTAAAATGCTTCGTGATTTGTAAACTTTTAATGAATTTGTGAGAATAAATGTCAAAAATGATTCTGATGAAAGAAGAAATTCTTTAATAAGAATCTTCATTTCCACAGTGCAGTTCATGATACACTATCTCAAGCCTCTTTACAATAAAACATTTTGATTTAACATTTTGTAAAGAGGATCCAATAAAAATGAAGCTTTTGATTATTCACGTGCCCTGAATCAGAAAAAAGCTACACTTTTGCTGTCTTTGAAGTTCTTATGAATTTGAAATGCATTAGAAAAGTATTCATTAAGCGAAAATTTTTTAAAAGATGCAATACAAACTACGAGTTCTCATGAGTATAAGTGGTGCAGAGTAACGTTATGCAGTAAAGATGTTGAAAAAACCTTGGATTTAAATTCTCCACACTGTGCAGGATTTCAGAACACAGCACTGCAATAGAGTGAATACATTCCATTCTCGTTAGTGTTGGCTGAGCTATCAGTGCCTGGTTGACATTTCTGGCACTGTATAACAAGCAAGACAGATGATGACATTTTGGTACACAGCAGACAAAGTTTGGGTGTAGCCCAGACTGAACCAAATAATTTAGTATACATTTGTTCCTGGTTTTGTGGGATTCCTATCCAGAATTCAAATCCATTTAAAGGAGACTAATCAATAAAAACCACTGAATGTCCTGAGATATTTTCTTTAATGTGTGGCACAGTACAGGAGCTTGTCAGCATGATTTTATTGTGGGTCATATTTATTAGACAAGGTGTAAAATCACCGTTTTGCTATATTTTTCGCGTTTCAAAGTTAAAGTGATATGAGCGAAATGTCCAACTCGATTGCCCTTCGTCTTACATCCTCAATCAAGTATTCCAATAGTCACGAGACGACTAGCTATAGTCTAAATAAAGGTGAAGTTCAAAAGGCTTCTTCCACATTGTGAACCAGAATATTTTCACAACAGACCTTCCAGTACCAGAAAATCTCCACACAAAAAGGTGAAAACAGGCATTATAACAGCATGGGAACCCAGGACAGGATTTGACAGACAGATACAGACAGAAAAAATCTGATGTATCCACAGAGGTCCCGTCTGTCTGCTGCTCTGAGTGTTTTGAGAGCCACTGAGCCCAGCCTCTATAGCTTCTCCAGTGTTTTTGCAGCATGTCTGGGAATTGTGCATCAGTCGGCTGATTTATTGGACTATGCTTTGGAATCCCAGAGTGCTTGGAGAGGTGCAAGAGAAAACTTGGACTTGTTCTGCTCCAGCTTATCAATTTTTATATTAGTGTCCTCAAAATGCTTCTGCGCTTGTCCACCTGCAGCAGGCTAGCTCTGAGTTAGCCTCCTGTTTTCCATTAGAGATAAAAATAACAAGAGATTGGTGAGCATTCCAGGCCTTTTGAACCTGGATATGTTCAGAGAAAATCAAGCATCGATTCTAACTATTTTTCTGCACTATTTCAATGTGAAGGCAGTTTCTTCTTAATGTTTCTTCCTTCTGAAAAGACTTGCTTTTCTCTCATACCAAGAAAGCAAATCGGTTGTTTCTTTATTGGATACAGAAAAAACACAGCTGCCTGAGGAGTTCATTTCTCTAACAGTGTCACCTGACAGGAGTTAAATATAGTAGCACCCTTATTTAATGCAAACACAGAATTCATCCTCCCAATTATTCTTTTGTGTTCTAAAATGAAGAACAGGGTCACCCCGTATAGGTACAGTGTTTGAACTAATAAGCAATTATGCAAGTTCTGAAGGAATTCATAGTTAAATGGGGATTTGGAAAATGAACATGGCATAATAACACCGGCTGTTAGGGAATATTAATGAGGACCCTATGCAGAAAAACCAGGACGACCTCCAGAGGCGTAGTCGATTTAACAGTCCGAGGTCCGAATACTGAAGGCAAACAAACCGGTGCAAAAGTACAAAAATCAGGAGCGGAGCCGGCAGCCGAGAGTCAAAGGCAGAACGATAACCAAAGTACCGAAACAAAACCAGGAGACGTAGTCGGAGAACAAACCAGGGTCAGGAAGCCAAAAACCAAGAGGTCATTGATTGCCAGAAGTCGGGGGTAGCTCTGGCCAGGACAAACCCCAATACTG